TCACTGAGCTATCTTGAGATCATGTGGCCAAAGATTTATACCTAATCAAACCAACGAGCGTCTTCCTTGATCCCTGAGTAATAAGCTGAGTTTTTTGGCCACTTCTTGCTACTGTCTCTGTTGTGTACAACCGGTGACCTCCACTAAAGCCTGCATTCACTGACGATTTAACCTAGACTGGTGATACAAAGTTCGTAACAAAATTTCCCGGCTCAACTGATATTACACACAACCCCCCCCCCGCAAAATGCTGCTCTTGTGATTCGTTGTCAGCGGGATGGAGAGTGTATCTGTATTTGACAGTCTGTTTAAGAAAATCTAACCCACGGTTGCTTACGAGGTGCAGTGGTAGGACTTCACATGCAACCCACGAAGTCAGCCTGCGGACACCGTGTTCCTGAGAACCTTGCTCTCTGTAACAGCAATTCATCCGTTTTCTTTCGTACTCTGTTCATTTAAAGGCAACGAATAAAAGATGTCGGAAACAGAGTCGGTTGTGGAACGCACCACCACTGAAATTTCTGATGTATTGTCGACCAGAATGTCCGGAGAGACTATCGAGTCAACCTTAGAGGCCAAAAGTACCGATTCAATACCCACTGTTGATACCACTCCTGTCGCAGTTGTGTCGACCATCACGACCAAACCCAGCCTTAGTACCACAGCTCCGGTTAGACGTCCGACCTCTTGGAGACCACCGGTTACCGTCCAAGAGACACAAACTTCGAGGAAATGGACCACTGCTGGTTTTGGACCGAAACGAACCATGCACAGCGTAGCGGATGTGGATACCAATTACCGCGTGCAACCCCCGTTTCAGCCGATTGATGCCACACAAACAAAAAGTGGTCAGGAGACGTTGCGCCGACAGCAAATGGCTCTAGAAGCGAAAGGAGCGGGAAAATACGGAAAATGTAAGTTCATAGAGAACATGAAGTCATCTCGTTTTGTCTCATGCTACAAAGACTTTTTCGTCAAATGTCATATCATCGTCACTGACACCAACACTAGACGGGAGCACTGGCGTTTCACTACTGCACAGCAATGTCCGTTTACTTGAATAAGACCTTATGCTTGAAGAAAGAAAGGAATATGGCACATAGGGAGATTTAGGAATAGTCTAGAGGAAACAGCTGGGAGGATTACACCTCTAGCATTTAGTCAGACAATCTAGATAGAAGGTGACAGCATGAACGGCCCTGACACCGGTCATTCAATGTCTCCAGCAAAACACAGGGACGGGTACTTTGATCCCATCCTTAAATGCGAACCACACCAACGAAACCCAGACTTTTCATAACATCCTTCATTCCCTTCCGCCATGATGAATTTCGCTCGCCTCTAGTACCTTTTACCTTACCAACAACCAGTAGAATGTCCCGGATATCAAAACATGGATTGTTTATTCTAGCTTGTCGGGATTTAATAAGTTTGGATTTAAAGGTTTAGAGGGTCGCTTCTGGCGTCTTTTTTCTGTAAAGACCATCAGGACGGGTGCAGACAGCCGATTTGAAGGAGTTTATGTAGGGACCGAATCCACATATCCACTCGGCTTCCTGGATCATGGTCATCTTGAAAAACGTTTTTATTATCTAACGAATCATGGTTGCGTGATTTTAAAAAATCATCTACTTGCTGAACAAGGGGCCGAGGTTTGTTTCTTTGCTACCAGCGGTGCATCTGGCATGCACTACTCGCATGCTTCACCAGTAGTGTCCACCGTTACATCAGTATTCACTGAAAAGAGTGCGATACTTTCAAAGTTAAATGATACAAACCACTACTTCATGGCTTTGAGTGTATTGCAATACCCAAAACCAGTTAGATAAGTGTTGGGGATATCAATATCCCCCAGAAAACGCTGTTTTTATGTGTGCTAGCGAACTCCCGGCATCTTCAAGGTCAAACTATGAAAAATCAATGGCCTATTGATACTCCAAGGAAATTTAAATCCGACCACGTACAGGACCCTTCTTTCCACTGACTTGGGTACGGAAGCTCCGGACATCGCCTGTTGATCGTGTGTTGTTGGATTATTAAAGTTTGTGTCCGAGGTTTCCGTCTTCTTACTATTCACCGTGCTAGGATTCTGGATCAAGCAACATAGCTGGGGATAGAGCCACACCACAATCCGCATTATCATATTGTTTGCTCGCTGCGTGACAGAACCGTAACAATAAGCTTTGTATTGCTTAGTTTCAGTTCTATCTTGGTCTGATCGACCTCAGAAACTTTGTGTCGGAAAAGGAAGTGAGCTTGGGTTACTTCCGATTCCGCAAACCACTGACGCTGCATTCTGGCGTGTTTGGTGTGCCCCTGTTCTCCCACCCGGATATTTCTGTCCTCCAATCATTACGCCTCGATAACCATTGTTATCATTTTATATTATTTTCTACTAATGCCGACAGTTTGACGCACATGGGTGTATCGATTCGTTGGGTTTGCTTTGTACTTATTGATCAATTTCAGTCAAACAACTGATTTTCGCTCACGTACTAGATGTGCCACTTGTCAATTTTGAGTAAGATGCAGCCAGCTCTAACAAATACTTCACGAAATCAGCCAGGTGTAATTCCACAAATACGTTCATCTGATTTTCGCGTGAAACGCACCTGAGTCTCAGCTAAATCTCTCGTTTAAGGTATCCTTCAATTAAATATACTACTGCACAAGGTCAGTTTCAGTTTGTACAACATTCGAGATATCTCAGCATATTTTCATGGAGGAAGAACAACATAAAGGAGGACTTCAGTTTAGTCCCCGGTGAAAACCAAATCGATATGCAACTGACTCATATCCAACTACTCATAAGGCTGGTGAAAAGATTCGATAGGCCACGACCGATTCGTCCATCTTGGAGCTCATCAGGCAGGTGCACTCAGTTTAAGAGTGAGCATCCCATGAAACCAAACTGGTGTGAAAACCATTGTATTCGTTGAGTTTCTGCAAGTAGAACAATAGGGTGGCGGAAACCCGGGGGTTGTACCTGCCTGATGAGCCTCAAGAATGGCGACACCTGGTGTGGGCCGTGGAAGAGTTTTCTGCAATCTGTTCCCGTAATGAAGCCATGTGTGCTATCGTCCATTAGGTTAACCAACTTGCCGAACTGAATACACACTGAATACGAGCAAACGCTACTCGCGGCCGTTTGCCAACGCCATGTCTGTCTCAGTGACTTACTCTCATAAACGAATGGAGGAGAGAAAGCAAGCAGCGTTCAGTTTTCTGTCACACTTATCGCTGATGGGTTTGCTAACTTTCGCTCTCGATGGGGCTACTGGTGAAAAGAAAGCCTTTGCTGCGGAGCTACTTATTAGGAAACACCAACTAGACCGGTTACAGACCACTGGACAGGGAAGCAAAACTCTCATTTGCATCTTATTTACAAAAATTGGACATCCATCTTCTCCTGAACGCGTCTTCTTGAACTTTCCTGGATATTCATTGACTCCAATCATTCATCGCTCAAATCCCAGCAAATGTTATAAAGTAACTCCATAGATTCCGCAACAGATCTCGCCTTTTTAAAAGATTCAAAGCGAAGTTTCACGAACAACACATACTACTCCCGTGCCTCCCCACAGTAGTATCACCGTTACACTAATAGTCCGAATTGTCTAGATAGTTGGTGCTCTCATTACGGAACTGAGCCGAACTGGTCTCTTTCACATCCAAGAGAGACTACGTACTCTGAGTCCTTTGGCGTTTGCACAACCATCAACCAATAATGAATCACTTGGCATGCAAACCTCCAAGTACAATTAAGTTCCAGAAAGAGAGTTTAAAAACAGATTAAAGTTGGAAAGTCAGGGTTCAGTGAACTAGAATCGTAAGTTCTTGTTCAGTTTTGTGATTCCTAACTTCAAGTTAGATGTAAGTTGAAGGGTTAAGTTAAAAACATACAAAGTAGACATAATACATTACTCGACAGCCCACAACCGGTTTCGCCCTTCTCGGGGCTCATCAGGTAGACGTGTTCCACGAGTTTCCGTCAAGCTTCTGTTCTACTTGAGACCAAATAAACTCATTAGCAAAACAATTTGGTTTCGCGGAAGAAGTACCTTAAACCCATTTGGATCTCTTGTTTATGGATGTTTTTTATGCAACTGAATGTGCTGCACCAGGAAGCCTCACCCTTCAGTTGGTACGATATTCGAGATATTGTGAGACGTGTATAAACGCAACACACTACTCACAAGGTTGCTGAAAACGTTTCGACTTCCCACAGCCAGTTTCGCCCTCTTTGGGGCTCATTAGTCTCCAAACTCCCGTCAACTACACTGCATATTTGTTTGACTTGCTCAGGTTAAACTAGAGCTTCGTTTGGCGAAATTTCCACAGTACCACCCAATACTCTAAACTGATAGTCAGTCCTGAAGTTGATACGCTGATTTTCTCTGGAAAACTGCTCATCCCATTTATGATTTATTACTACGGACGGATGGAAAAGAAGTGTGGGATAATTATGAAGACATTTCAGTTCATCAGACCTCTTAATCTAGACTAAAGATTTATCCTTGAACACCCATCATCCTAAAAACTTTCGATTGATAAGTGATGCACGCTCAAGTGGAGCAAAAAGACGTAAATTACTTAGCGAATAGGTAAACCTGCCCGCCTACCGGACCAACTGACCAATTGAGCATTCCTCTGAAGCGAGCGGAAATAAACTGATTTTGACTAAGTAGGAAAATAACTGAAAGATTGCCTGAGATAGTCTAAAAGAAATCAATAAGAATGAAAATATTTATGCTTGTCCTGGTTATTTGGTGAAGATGTTGACACAGTGATAACTGGCTGCAGTGAAGCAAGACGAGACGTCTCCCAGCAGCAATCAGTAACGCAAACCTGTGATTTTGTTTTCTGATTTACCAGTGCGAGCAAACATTTTCTGTATTGTTCAAGTTGTATCTTTAAATTCTCCTAGATTACCTGAATTGAAGTTCATCCCTTGACGATACACACTACTTACAGGGTTGCTGAAAACACCCTAACAACCTTCGACTGATTTTGCTCCTCTTTCAATGCTCATCATTTAGACCTGTCAACTTTACGTTCTACTTGAATTTGTTTTACTCACGACAAAAATGGCAGATTGTTTGAATACCGAATTTGAGGTTCAGCCACGGGAGCGACTACCATCCGTCAGTTGTGAATTAGACATTTAAAAGTGATCCGTTATAGTATACCAGCGTACTATAATCAAATAAGTCGGACACTGTCACGCGTCTGTGTGCAGCAGAAACTTCCTGATATGTTGGTCATTTGATAGGTTGCCCACCATGGGGGCACCTCGGTTAGCCTACACATAAAGTTGTTGAAAATTCTTCGACAGTCCATGACCGATTTCGCCCTTCCTGGGACTCAGCAGATAGGCGCACTTCCCGAGTTTCCGCCTATACGTGTATCGCGATGTCTCGAATGTCGTGCCGACTGAAACATAAAGCGGCTTGCTACAGTATATTCAGTTGCTTGAAAACATCTTAAAAGACAGACTTAGCTGGGTTACAGGTGAGTACCCCATTCAAAACCAACTATGTGTGCAAATGAGTGTATTTTGCTAATTTCATGCAATTTGGTTTCAAGTAGAACATAAGATCGACGGAAACTCGGGGACTGAGCCTACTTGAGCGACCTCAAAAAGGGCGAAACAGGTCATGGGCTGTCGAAAAATTTCCAGCAACCTTCTGAGTAGTGCATTACGTCTATACATGTACCACATTATCTTGAATATCGTAGCAACTGAAACGTGAGGCGGCCTGGTGCAGCAAATTCAGTTTCTTGAAAACATCACAAACGAGAGATTCAGCTGGGTTCCATGTGAGTCTCTCGCAGAACCAAATTTGTTTGCAAATGGGTGTGATTCCCTATATGCCTTTCTTCACTAAATCCAGAAAAAATTTTCCTTTGGCATTGCCACACTCACATTCTCAGTGCCTTGCAGAAAAATTAAGACTCTCCTTTGCCTCTACGGGAACCGAAATCAGCAAAATTCAGCAATCGAACTTCCTTAGAATTCTAAACAGAAAATACTTTCAAACTTTATCTGTTAGAGTAAAAAATAAGTAAATCACGATCGTCCAACCATTTTGACTTAATGGAACATAATCTATCGGTTTACGCAGGTTTTTTGTAGAAGCAGAGTTTTGTCTTCAAACCAACCCAAATACATGAAAACGCAAGAATGTTCTCGAAATCAACCTGCGTTTTGCAAGCTGAATCAGCCAGTCCTGCTTTCGGATCCTGGTCCTAATGGGTTTGGTTTTTCGGTTAACAATGTGCTTTTCCAGTTGAAAAAGCTGGAAGCTAAAAAGCTTGTTTCACGCTTTTCATGTTGACAGTTTTCTTTTCTTTCTTCATCCGAGATATATTATAGTGTGTGTGTATGTCCTCGTTTGCATCCGAAAATATGTGGTTCACAGCAATCGAAAATATCTTGTGCTGTTCATCGAAACTCCAACATAACAGGGAGGATCTACTTGTTTTGACAGAATCTACTGCTAATTTTGGAAACCTGACGATTATCGATCTATCACGGAGTGATTAGGTCTATTCTGTGGGCTGTGGACTTTGTGTAAAGCACTTGAAAAGTCGCCGCTGCGCATGTGGTACACGGAGATATGTTCTGATGAGGATGCGCGATAATATCTCCTGAGAAAAAGTAAAGTATGGCGACGGAAAACGGGGACCGTAAAAACTGGCAGACACATGATTTTGGTAATTCATTTTCTGTCTGTTGCATCGAACGTAACAAAAGTAAACCAGTTGATGGTAGGCACATATGAAGGATGAAGAGATGTGGATGTTAGACGGATCACGGATTATCCAATACGCGACTAACAGTCTGGACTGTGTGGGAGGTAGAACTTAGTGTGAAGGAATTTTAGACGGGAAGTGAACCACACAAAGCTGTAGGCGAGTACCAAGTTCGGGTATGAGAGGGAGGATTTTGATAGCTCTATAGATCACCAAACAGTCCGTATCCACCTTGTCGACTGGTTGAGCTACGTTGTGAACGCCACTTCCCGGACGAAACCGATTCGGAGAGCGTCCTACAATGCCTTAGAACAAATTTAACTCAACTTCAAGAAAAGTGTACAACTCCAAAAGTGGTAAAACAGCCTAAACATACCCAATTAGGATGAAACTGGATTTGTTCGCATATGACCCCAACGTGTATAAGAGTATTTGCGCGGCATACAATGAGCCGTGATTGGAGATGAATTGGTGACCTCCATAATTCACTTGCTTAAGCTAAGAGTTATTCTATGCCACTGAATGCCAGGATGATCATACAGCCATCAAGTACACAATGCAGACATCATTTTATTGGAACTTTATTTTTTCGACAAAGCCACTTTAGTGTGATCAGCGGTTTTCTACGGATGGGATTCTGACTAAGAGGTCATTTGTTTTAAACTTTAAACATGATATTTTGTGTATAGTCGCCAAAACAACGTTGTCTATCTGGGTAGATGTAACTGGGATACCAGGGGAATAATGCAACAATCGTAAGCTCGTACCCGCCACCTCAAACGGGTTACGTTCCAGGAGTACCGCCACCTCAAACGGGTTACGTTTACTCCAGGAGTATTATATGCGAATCGCTAAAATGTTGTTCGTTTTAGGGACAAGAGTTTTGCCAAGGTTTCGTCGGCTAAGTAACAGACAAAATCGATTTTCATAGGTCCGTTGACCCGGTGAACGTTTCCAAAATGGACGGACAGTTGACTCCACATTTCAGTGGCTTTTATACAGTCGCTGTTCTCGCGTTTTTCGTCTCTTTGCTTTCAAACTGTTCCCTGTACCCCTGCCCATTTTGTGTTCTGCTGAAGTGCCCTACGGAGCTGTGGTCAGTCTGAGCATATTGGGTGTGACATTTGGTTTGTTATTCCTACTCTGGTTTTGCAAACGATGCGTTTTTCGAAAACGCCGTTCGAAGAAGGATTCAAAGAAAATGTCGATGGCCGGTGGAAAAATTGGCGCTGACTTGAAGGCTGCAGCATTTTTGGCTGAATCGAAAAATAAGGTGAGTGGAAGTATGCAATAGCTACCACGTTGATCCTGACCAAACATACTACTCATAAGTTTGCCTCTTCGGCAGCCCACAACCGGTTCTTCTTCAGGTTTCTTCAGGTAAGCATGGACCTCGAGTTTCCGTCAGTCTTATGTGATTGGCAAAATATGATCTGTTGAGGAATATTTCAAAGGGAGTATCCAATCGACACCAGCTCGATTTGCATTTGATGATTCTTCGTCAATTACTCTGTTACAAATTTGACAGTAGTGAATGAGGCATTTGACTTGGATACACCGTTTAGGAACGAATAAGCCTGGCGCATGCTAAGCATTCGAAACATTGACATGTGAAACTCCCCGGAGCCTGTCAAAAATGTGACCAAGTGTTGTGGATCCATCGAGTGAAGGATGAGTGCGAGTGAATCACTCTGCTGATCAGCCGCTCGCTACCGACTGGTTGGAAGGCTGCATGTCGGAATTCCCTGCTGGAGCTTCGCTATTTGCGTAGTGCTGATGCTTCCAACTATAGATTATACTACTGTACGGTGCA